TTGGTTTATGAGAACTTAAGTTTTATACATTAGACCTTTACATTATCTTTACAACTGTATAATATTACTTGTTGTGACTGTTCAATTCAATGAAAACTATGTGGTTGCTAATTATTTTATGGAATGGATCTTCTGATGGCCAAAATGCCTGTTAAGCAATTATTTAGTACCATGTTGAACTATAGCTAAACTTATTCTGACGGGAACCATAGAGTTTGTTTCAATTTAATCTTAAAATTAAATATTAAAAATAAAATCACCTATTTTTGAAGTGCATTTAACACCTTAATCAGTTTTAAATTTTACTTGAAAAGTCTTCCATGTGTCCTTTTTGTTAAAAGATAGGGGCAAGCAGATTTCATTCTATCTTTACTCTGCAGTGTTAATGCAATCAGGATTTTACCTGAGGATGATGCTTATTTCAAAGTATATAATGATAATGCACTAAATCACAAGACAGCCCAATAGTGACTAAATGCCTCAACATAGGCTATACGGCTCAGAAAGATAAAATTCAGTTACCATAACCGGTCACAACCCAAGGTACACAGATAGAGTGAGCTATTATCTTTACAAATTTTCCATTCACTGATATAATATAGAGGGAACAATATAATGCCAATGATCCAATCTAAGGGGTCCTGTGGAATTGAATGTTTAAGATAATTCTGACGTATATGACTTGCCTTGGATATAGATGAGTAAGAAAACAGATTTTTAAGCTCTGGAACTTGAAAGTATACAAACATTAACTCAAGATAGATTAAAGATTTAAATGTAAGACCTGAAACCATAAAAATTCTAGAAGAAAACATAATAAAAACTCTTCTGGACATTGGCCTAGGCAAAGAATTTATGACTAAGACTCTCCAAACAAATATAGCAACAACAAAAATAAATAAATGGGACTTCATTAAACTAAAACATTTCTGTACAGCAAAGAAAATAATCAACAGAATAAATAGACAACATACAGAATGGGAGAAAATATTCACACTCTATACACCTGACAAAGGACTAATTCCCAGAATCTACAAAGAACTCAAACAAATCAACAAGAAAGAAACAAATAACCACAATCCAAAAGTGGGCAAAAGATATGAACAGTTTTTTCAAAAGAAGGTACACAAATGTCCAAGAGACATATAAAAAAATGCTCAACATCTCTAATCATCAGGGAAATGCAGATTGAAATGACAATGAGAAACTGCCTTAACCCTGTCAGAATGGCCATTATTAACAAGTCAAAAAATAATAGATATTGGTGCAGATGCAGTGAAAAGGGAATGTTTATGCACTGTTGGTGAGAATGTAAGGAGATTCCTCAAAGAACTAAAGTAGACCTACACTTCAATTCAGCAATCCCACTACTGGGTATCTACCCAAAGGAAAAGAAGTCATTTTATCAAAAAGACATGTGTACTCAAATGTTTATTGCAACACAATTCACAATTTCCAAGATATGGAATCAACCTAAGTGCCCATCAACTAATGAGTGGATAAAGAAAATGTGGTATCTATGTTCCATGGAGTACTACTCAGCTGTAAAAAGCATGAAATAACGTCTTTTGCAGCAAAGCAACTTGGATGGAGCTGGAGATTGTTATCCTAAGTGAAGTATTTCAGGAATGCAAAACAAATACCACATATTCTCACTTATAAATGGGAGCTAAACTATGGGTATATATGATCATAAAGCAGTATATTGGACACTGGAAACTAAGAGGAGGGTGGGAAGGGGTGAGGGATCAAAAATTACATATTGGGTACAATGTACATTATTCTGGTGATGAGTACACTGAAAGCCCTGATTTCATCACTAGACAGTTCATTCATGTAACAAAAAAACACTTGTATCCCCTAAATCTATTGAA